AGAAACTAAGTCAAGATCTCGAGATCCCGACTTATTATCTCGAGATCCCGAGAAACTAAGTCAAGATCTCGAGATCCCGACTTATTATCTCGAGATCTCGAGATCCCGACTTATTTTCTCGGGATCTCGCGATAATAAGTCGGGATCTCGAGATAATAAGTCGGGATCTCGCGATAATAAGTCGGGATCTCGCGATAATAAGTCGGGATCTCGAGATCTCGACTTAGTTTCTCGGGATCTCGCGATAATAAGTCGGGATTTCTTTCCTTTTTTTTTTTTCTCCATGTCCCCTTAGGGGCTCCGTAGGATAGCAGGATGCACTGAAAAGAAAAATTTTTTAAATGTGCTCGAGCCAAAGACTGTCTTGACTAGTAAATTTCCAGAAGCAATTGAGAGAGTTTTAGATTCACTGTGACGTATGGCAATGGTGAATTCATGAAGACTGACAACTAAATCCAAAGGGGTTTCAATGAAGCATCTGTGGTATGGTGTGCACTACAATGCAGCCTAGAATTGCAATTTTAAAGTTTTTTTTTTTTTTTTTTTGTTATCGTTTATGTCTATGCTTCCGCCAGTTTTGGCTGTTTTTTTCAGTTGCTTGAACATCTGACTTTAAGCTGTCATTTTAACAAAGGTGTGTGAGAAACATCTCAAGCCTCTGAACTTGAACTACAATATGTGTGCAAGTGCCATATTTTGGCTGTTTCTTGTTTAAATCTAGAGGTCAAAACAAAGACCAGGTAAGCTGGACTCCATGCATTTCAGACAGGTCAGTATATCTGACAGTCTGTAAATCAGCCCACTGACTAAAAGCTGCAGTAAGTGAACCCTGACTCTGAATTAGAATAAAAATAATGGCAAAAACCACTGAAAAGAGGGAGAGAATACAATATTGACTGCAGCATTAAAAATTTTTTTTTTATGGATTTCCGATAAGACATTCAGGAATGAATCCAAGGACTAGAAGTACCTTATGGGATTCCTTATTCACATTCACTGCTTGGCTCCTTTTCTGGCCTACTCAGTACCCTTGCTGATAATAGCAGCTTTTTTTCTGTAGAAGTGAAAAAAAATATTTAAAAAAAATACTTACTTTTAAAACTGTGTTCTTTGTGTCAGTAAAGATATCACAATGGAATAAATGAGTAAAATTGTGAGTGCATCTTTAGCAATACTCCATATTCCTCTTGTCATTTACAAAAGAAGAATCTTAAATTCAAAAACCTATAAGTCCATGTTTCTTTTACTTATTTGTCTGGTTCTGACCTGTGATACTTCACAAAGTGTTTCAGTTTGACGGATATGTGATGGTGGAGGGTAAATAATCCTTCAGGTTGGAGTGGACACAGAGGGTGCAGGTACAGACGACAGATGGAGACTCAGCGTGACGTATTTGTCATTGTGCAGACAGAGGCTGTTATTACAGGGTGCTGTCAGGGGCTGACTGAGGAACTCTGAGTCTGCTGGTGAAGGAGAGAATCTCGTGTGGACCAAAACTGAAAGCTGAATATGAAAAGAGAGTAAGAAGGAGGACTGAGAAGCTGGAGGTTAAGTGGGATTGAGGCATCAGTGAGGTGGTGGATATTGTTGGTGGAGCCCGAGTGACTGACAGATCTCATCACCTGGATTGGAGATAAAAAATAATAAAAAAATTCCCCCCACAGATGTTTCATCTGTACTAACCAAGAAACCTGCAGCTCAAATAAAGTTTGATCAAAAAGTCTGTATTCCTCACTTGAAGGACGGTCCTGACTGGTAGGACGATCCTGACATGGATGCAGGTCCTGACTTGGAGACCATTAATGACTCTGAGGCAGGTCCTGACCCAGAGGCTTTTCCTGACTCGGAGGCTGGTCCTGACACGGAGGCCGGTCCTGACTCAGAGGTTGGTCCTCACTCTGAGGATGGTCCTGACTCAGAGGCAGGTCCTGACCCGGAGGCCGGTCCTGACACGGAGGCCGGTCCTGACTCAGAGGTCGGTCCTCACTCTGAGGATGGTCCTGACTCAGAGGCCGGTCCTGATCCGGAGGCCGGTCCTGACTCAGAGGCTGGTACTGACCCAGAGGCCTTTCATGACTCGGAGGCTGGTCCTTACTCAGAGGCCGGTCCTGATCTGGAGGCAAGTCCGGACTTAGAGGCCGGTCCTGACTTGGAGGCAGGTCCTGACTTGGAGGCAGGTCCTGACTGGGAGGACGGTTCTGACTGGGAGGCAGGTCTTGACTTGGAGGCCGGTCCTGACTGGGAGGCAGGTCCTGAACTGGAGGCCTGTCCTGACTAGGAAGCCAGTCCTGACTAGGAGGCCAGTTCTGACTCGGAGGCTGGTCCTGACTTGGGGTCAGGTCCTGACCCGTAGGCGGGTCCTGACCCAGAGACAGGTCCTGACTCCTCTGTGTGGCCCAAACTCAGAGGCCAAACTAAGACTGGACAAACCTCAATGTTTGTTCCTCTCTTAGAGGGTTCTTCAGTCTGAGCATCATTTGAATTATCTCCACCACAGAAAGCTTATTGAATCCACTTCCTTGCCTTTCTGAGATGATCTTGTGGAAGATTAATTTTCCCTAGGATGTGCCAGGGTTCTTTTGAAAAATTGTATAACTTTATAAATAACTATTGGGTTGTCACTTTTTATCATCTTGAACACCAATTCTCCAGCTAAATCATCATTCCCTAAGAGAAGTTGAAAGATATCTCCACATAGTTTTCTTTCCATCTTGTCAAAAAGGACTAAATCTATGTCTTCCCAGAGTTTAGGAGCAAGCTTTTTCTGGACAGATAAAGTGTTCTTCATTTTGTAAGCGGCATATCTAGCTCTATGACTGGACTTATAAATCAATAGCCAAAGAATGTTTTCCATCGTATTTCTTTTTTCCTCTTCGGTTCCACGTTTGAAACCCGTCTCTTTCGCATCCCTCAAAAATCGTTCAGGGTCCATACCTGCCTGAGTATAATCCTCACTCAGGCAGTTTTCATCTGAGTACAAGTCCTCTCTAGGAAAAAATGTCTTTCTGATCTTTCTTTTTGTAGATGTAAACATTTTCTTTGGAGGAACAGGATTCTCCAGGTGATGTTTGAATTCTTCCACAATAACTTTATGTCCTTCTGGGTAATCAGATTACCCAGAAGTCCAATTAAATGCAGTCCAGAAGCAAAGTGGAAAGCATCTCTGGTGAGGCTTTGGAAAATCCATTCACTCAGCTCTTCTGACCCCTCTGAGAGAACATCCACATTTAATTCTCCTGTTTCTCTCAAAAGTAAGATCAAACCTCATGGTGTTCCTCCAAATATGTTTCTCTGACACGATGCAAAGTTGGTCCGTCCGCAGATTTTTCAATCACTTTCCAAAGAAATTCGCTGAGAAAGTTTTTTTCCCTGTAATCCAGGGTTGTTTGACCAGGATGGACTTTGTTAGAGAACCTTTTTTTCAGGTTTTTCCAAAAAAAAAGTGAGCTGTGAGCTTTCGTTACTTATCTGTATTGAGCTAAACTAAAATGTCCAAATGATTTCTGTGTTAACTGACCAGAGAATTAACTGATCAGTTGGTGATGTCATGGACCCCTCCACTTTACCGCCCTGCCCATTTTTATTTGGGTTCTATCTCCTAACAGGCATAGTAGGGCAAGTGTCAATGGGACTGCTACATCCAACCAGTTACTCAGCAAATCCACCAGTTGCAAAATAACAATTGCACTTACTTTTGGTCATTGTGAAAGCTTCTTAGGTTCGTTTGAGAACATTAAAGAAGAAAAAGTATTACGGAGAACCAGAAACACACCAGGTAAGTCAGGGATGAAGACATGGAGAAATATAGAGTAAGATGATATTCCAAGCAAAATCTCAAGACCCCTGTTTAGCCCATCATTTGAAAGTGAAAAATAGTACAACAACCTACCTAATGCTGAAAGAGCTGCATATATCCACAGTTCAAGTGGGAGAATTTTTTGTCAGGTCAACTATTTCTGAACCCAGAAATCTGGCCTTAACAGGGGAATGGCAAAGACAGCCATAAATAAGCCAGGTTAAAGTTCACTGTCAGTCAAGCAAGGGACATGGGAAAATACGTTCTACGTCCCTACTCCCCCCCTAAAACTTTATCCCCATGATAAACAGTGATGGTGTCATGCTGTGAAAATGCTTGTCAGCAGAAATAGGAAAGATGCATTGACCCCAGTTGACGTAAATCCAGAATATTTCTGGTATAAAACCTAGAAGCTCCGAAAAAACTTGGGATTGGGGTAGAGGTTCACCTACCAGTAGGATCACAACTCTATACATGAACAGCTCCTGTAGAAGGGTCTACCATAAATGTTTGGCCGTTGAACTGGACCATTCAAGGTCGCTATCAAGCTAATTTTCTATTAGCAGCTCCACTAATCTTTCTGATAAACATTACCAAGGCACATTAAAGCAAACCTTTATCTTGGCTTTTTTTCTATTCTAGCACCGCACGGTTCCTTCTGCTGACAAGCAATGCTGATTTCCTTTTTCCATCAGGACTTGGTACCTGCCAAAACTGCCTTAGGTACCAAAGTCTAGTTTCACGACCATGATGCTCCTGTGCAGGACTGGCTGGCAGACTCCCCTGAACTCCATAGCGAATGGATTGTCAGGGAGAAGATGACAGACACCAGGCTCAATAATGCGTATGACCTGAGAGCTGGCATCAAAGCATCCTGGGCTGATCGCTTCCATGCCACTCCACACTGAAACAATTCAGGCAAATACCTAATCAAGTTCCTATACTGCACCGTACATAAACAAACTAATAAATCCACATTTCTCTGTGAAAACTCCTTTTAAAATTTAAGTTGTGCAAGAAATTGTACTTTTGGTTTTTAAACAGTCGTAGCCCATAATAAACCAAACATCTGTGTGTCTTTTGAGATACGCCTGTATAGAGGACAACCTGATTTTATACTCTAAGGGGAAAATGAGGTTAAACATTTTCTTTAGCTGAACATCTACAATGGCAAAAAAAAAAAAAAAAAAAAACGATAAGTGTGCAAAGTCAACCAGTAATTTAGATTTAAAAAACAGGCATTGATTAAACCCACCCTGAACTTTCTAATAGTGGATTCTTTGTGTGCGAAGGCGGCACTGCATGTGGAGGAAACCAGATGATGGCATCTCACTCTGGTCCTGTTCTTGCTGCTGTGTGCCTCACGCACATAAGATGTCCAGGTGTCTGCAGGAGGCAGGTGGCTGCTGCTGTTCTCCTTCTAGCTGTTTGTGTAGTTTCAGAGATCGCAGCACTCTGGGCTCAGTGGTGATTTACATTTTTATTTTCAGGGGACAGGTCAGGTGGGCTAGAGGAGGCTGGCGGGTGGGCTGACGTACCTCAACACCTCTCAGGTCCGCGCCTGAAGCTGTTTCCAAATTTTCACTTTATCTCCCCTTTACATGCTTGACCCCCCCCCCCCCCCCACCCCTCTCTATGTCCATTTCCATTCCCTGTGTGCAATATGCAACTGTTGCCATGACCTATATAGTAAAGGCCACTCCACTGTGTGCACGCGCTTGTGTTTTCTACCTCCACCCCCCCACTGGGTTTCCTGTGCAGGCCTGTGAACAGTTTAGTGAAGATCTCATGTGGGCAAGTCCCTTGCAGCGCTCTCCGGTGGGTGTCTCGAGGTAAAAAGTGACCCTGATGTGTCAGTTCTGCTTAAAAGAATGAAAGAAGTACTGGTAGACCACCGTGACGCGCGCACACACTCACACACACATAGAAGCCATCCTGAGGGCCCCTCGCTGATCACTGTAACCCGCCACACAGTGACAGAGCTGACGTTCTTCCTCACAGCACATCCATAGGCTTCTATTTTAGGGTTTTGGCGTGACATTGTCATGAAACCTGCAGGCTTTGCAGAAGTTTCTGTCTCTATGCGTTTGTATTGTACAGATGCGAAATGTTGTGGCACGAGTTGAGGTCCAGCTCGTCTTTTCACAGCTTGTGTGTGTGCCTGTGCATTAGTCTCACAAGAGGATGGAGGGAAAACAGAATTTACCACGTAGCCACACCACAGCTGGAAGGCACCAACTTTTTTTGGTGCAGCTAATGAATAACAGGAGGGTCATAACTATGCATGTTCAAACAGAAATGGTGCATATACAACAAGATTAATGCATTTATTAGTTTCACAGACGCCAATTATAATAATCCTTACGTTGATCAACAACTATATGACAAGTTTTCAGCTGAAACCTATTTGGAGAACTTGATAGCATTGATAAATACATGTAGAAAATGGAAAGTGGTAGCAAACTTCTGGTTTTTTTAAAAAAAAAAAGCAAATATTAATTATAAATGCCAAAAGTGCAGACAATCCTTTGGTTCAACCTATTAGTTTAGGATCTGGGTGTCAAATTTCAGTCCTTGAAGATCAGTTGAAATATGTCCCAGGCTCAACACATCCGAATCAGACCTTTGGGGATCGGGATTTGACACCTGAGGTTCCAGAGCTTACCAAGTACTTAACAGAAAGTGAGGCAAATTGACTGATTATTGGGTTTTATGTTTATTTTATGTCATTTTAAATCTTGTTTTTTGTTACAGCATCCTCTCTGTCTATGTCAAAGGCCAGATAAGTCAGTGGCATGATCCATTTTCTTTCCCATTTTGAAGAGTGGATAATAGAAAAGCTATGTATAGCTTTAAGTTTTTCCAAAAAATACTTAAAAAAAAAAATCTCCTGTAATAAATGAAAAATAAACGCCAATTTAAGTTCACTAAATAGTATTCTGCAACATAGGAGCTTATTCAGTGCTTGTATTTGTATGCAACAAATATTTTATAGAAGTACTACAACAATTATCTCGATATTAAACAAATTTAAAGGATGTTTTAACTAAAACATCTTAGAAGTTCAAAATCATAAAGTTGAACAAATCTGACTGGCGGTGCGGCGTCTGCTGTCAAAATGAATGAAACTTTAAAAGAAAGAAGGAAAACCTACAGGAGGGACCCAGACAACAAACACGACACGAGATGAAGGCACAGCACTTTTTTTTTTTGTTTTCAACAGAATGACCCAAAACCTGGAATATTAAATAAGACACTGCAGTGCATTTTAATTAGTTTTTCATTTACAAAGTTTAAATGTTTGCTTCAAACAATTAAAACACTTTACTGACAACATCCCACATTGCAGATAGACAAAGAGACATTTTGTTAAATTAAGTTTAATAAATCTGTGATCTACACCTTCAGAAATACTGCTGGTTAGTGATAAAGGCCTCATCAATGCAACTCAAGCAAAACAAAGAACCAACAGAGAGAAACACAACAGCTGAGAAATAAAAAACAAAATAACTTCATGTTTAAATAAGT